TTTTTCTTTTTTTTTTTCTTTTTTTTATTCGTGCTTCACTTCGGTACGACGTACACCGATATTTTCTCTCACTCTCTTTCTCTCTCTCTCTCTCTCTCGCTCTCTTACTCTTTCTCTCTTTCTCTCTTTTTTTACTCGTTTAAAGTCTTGTAAACTTTTTTATAGCAAATTTAAAAATATTTTATGGCAAATTAATCCAAACCTTAAAGTTTTCGTCGAATCATAAAATTTCAAATTGGATTGGACAAAAAAATAATAAAATTTATTGAGAAATTACAATGGCACGGTGATATTAAGGCTATTACATTGATAATAGAATAATAATTATCTATTAAGTATAATATATTAAATAATACTATTACGTATTATAATATATTAAACATACTACAACTATATTTATATCATAAATAATATACTTTAATATACTATATTACGTTAATTTTACAGTAGCGACTTTGTTAATTCTACAGTAGCTAATTCTATTTAATTCTATTACAGGAATTGTATTACAATTTATTCTTACAATTGGTATACAATATTTATACTATAAGTTATTATATATAATTTTTAGGGTTTTAAAGGCGTAACACATAAAACTGAGTTATCCGGAGTTAAGAATTAGGTCTCGAAATCTCGAAACATCTTGAAAACCAAGTTCTATCCTAGAAACTTTTCCAATTTGTTCGAACGACCGAACGGCGCGTAAGAGAAATAAAAGAGAGCAAAAACAACAAGAAAAAGAACAGAAAGAAAACGAAACGGAAAAAAGAAAAAGAAAAAAGCGAACGAGAACGCACATACATAAGTACGCAAGGAAAAATAAAAAGGAGGGAAAGAAAAATGAAAAAAGAAAAGAGAACAAAGAAAAAGAAAAAAAGAAAAAAAAAAAAAAAAGAAAAAATATTGATTCGACGGGATATGTAGTAGTAGGAGTTCACGCTAGAAAGGTTTCGAAAGTCCTATTTATTTATTTATTTCTTTTTCTTTAAATTCTTTCTCTTTTCCTTGAAGAGGAAAACGACTAGAATCGCATATCGATTTGTACGGCCACCATAAGACGCGCTTTCGTGAATCGATACGATGCAAATGTAGTTCTTACAAGGGGATGACTTCTTTGAATGCACTTCGCGCCACGTCGCGTCCCTTGAAAGCTTCTACCAAAGAAAAAGAAGGTACGAAATTGCGGTCGTTATTCCGCAACGGAATCGACGTACAACACGACGTGCATCGAGATGCATTCGAGACACTGGCGAAATTCGTCAGCTGCGAAATCGTTTCTTACGAGGAACGAAACGAACAAATTCTTTTTACGATTTCGCGACACTTATCTACTTTTTCTTTTCTCTCTCTCTCTCTCTCTCTCTCTCGTTTTGACTTACTTTTGACCTCGTTCCACGTGTGTTACTTTTTCTCAAGAAACCAATGCCGTTCTATCACGATCTCCCTTTTCTTCCTCTTTTTCTTCCCTTTTTCATCCCCTCCTACCTATCGACCTCACACTCTATTTCTTTCCACCCATCAAAAATTTTGCTTTCCTCACGTGAAAGTATAAATGATTTATAGAACTTTCGCATCCTTTAGAGAAAATAAGTCTTCCCTTATAATATCCTTACGTACGATGTTCATCTTAAAAAGAGAAAAAAAAAATAGAAAGAGATAGAAAGGAAGAAAGACAAGCGATTGCAAAGAGAAAGTATAGAAAAATTGTACGACTGTAGGATTTAAATTCACGCAAATTGTTAAATCGTTAAATCGTCAAATTGTTCACGGATTGATTTAACGGGAGAGATTTAAAGCGAGAGTTGAAACGAATGCTGATAAGATAATAACGAAAAAGTGATTCGATAATAAGAAATATTTCTTTTTTTTTTTTTTCTTTTTCTTTAAATTAAAATTCGAGTAAAAATTGTCATTACTTAAATCATTTATCGATTAAAATTTCTCATCAATTACCGGATATTATATATAAATAACGGACGATTAATAACTTTTTTGTTTTTCTCGTAAATTTTTTTTTATCTTTTTTTTTCTTTTTTTTTTTTTTTTTTTTTTTACCTTTTTTTTCCAATATTGACTAAGCATTCGCTAATGTATTTAGAATTTGGTTTATGGCCTTGTTAAGTCCAATATCCTATTCTTTAACAAGCTTTAGGCAGAGAAGACGATAAATCAATTAACAAATTTCATCCCTGAACGTTCCATCCTCTTCGACACAATAGAGAAACTTGGAGGCAGCCCTGAAGCGCAATATCCATAACATAATCGATACACGCTTGATTCGCCAATCAACCGCACGTAGCTTTGCCCGTCTATAACATCGTATACAACATCGGTGGCTCTCCCTTTTCCTTTTCCGTTCCATAAACCACCCACGCGGTCTCTCTCCACGTACCTAGTTCGTCCCAGCCGATAGTGAAATACTTCCACCTGCGAATCTCTACTCGTGGAATACCCTATTAAACGTATGGCGACTACCACCAATATTGAGTTAGGTGGCAATATCCTAAATTGCCAGCCCAACCTCGTGGTACGTCCACTCTTCGTCGATACTATCGAAGAAGGACGATAAAGTCTAACGTAAACATTCACCAGTTACATTGGATGCTTTTAAACACGATACTATGTTATTACATATTTTTCTTTTTCTACTTCTTCTATTTCTTCTTTCATATATAATTTATAATAAATCATATTAATTAATAGATTATAGAAGGAATATAAATATGATAATATATTTAATAATTTATTCAGTTTGACCTTCTGTTGCTTTTTTTCTCCTTTTTTTTTTTTTTTTTTTTTTCTATTCGTTACCGACATATAGGTACAACGTAGGTCTTCTCTTTTTTATTTATATATACTATAGAGCGTTAAATTTAATTTTAAATCACGTGTGAAGTATGCAACATGATTACTGTACAGCGTCCATGATGTTTATCTTCGAATTATTTCCATTTCTATCTTTTCGATCGTTTAAAAGAGAGATGACATTTTTTTTTGTTGTCTTTCTTTTCTTTTTCTTTTCTTTTTTCTTCTTTTTTTCTTTTTTGATAAAATTTATAATTGAAGAATTTCTTCTCTAATGTGTTCTCCGTCTGAACGGCGCTAACTCCACGCAAGTAAGTCAACGAGTTAACCGTAGGCACTACCCACCAAAGGACGTGTTGACAAATCGCAAACAAGACGAAACTCACGTTCCAAATTACAGTGTGGCATAGATAGGTAGGTAGGATCTGCTAAGGATCGCCTTGACTAACAAGCGATACGAGCGAGCCAATCAAACGACGTTTAATTGGATCGTAAATCGACATTAAACTCTGATCAACGAAATCGTTTAAAAATCGACGAAAGTACTCGATTATTTTCTCACCCTAACGATCCTTATGATTACTTACTTACATCGTATAGATCGATCCAAAATTTTCTTAGTTTAATAGTTCAAAACTTTCTAGACGATTTAAAAAGATCAATTATTTTTTTTTGCTTTTTTATTTTTTTTTTTTTTTTTTTTTTCTTTTACGTTACTTATCAGACTTCTAATTAAGCTTATAATTTTACTTGAACCTTTCGTTCAAACAATAATATAAATCATAAATTTTCTTTCTTCTTTTATATATATATATATATATATATATATATATATATATATATATATATATATTATCTTTTATTTTGTATTTTATTCAATTCATTTCTTCCCGCGTTTTTTGCCATTACACGTCATATACCTCACAAAACGATAACTATCCATATACTATACATTGGTAATCACAATCGAAGTATCTCTTGTAATCCATAAAATGATTGATTATTATTGACGTGTCGGGGATTATGCAAATCTCTGCTCTGTACTTTCAAACTCAGGGGAAAAAAAAACATAGAAAAGAACGGGGTAAATTTTCCCAGCTGCAACATGTCAACTTCAGGAACGGATCATTATAATCTTGTTTGTTCAATGGTATCCAACGACAAGGAGTAGATAATAAAGAAACGGAGCAGAGAGAAAGAGAGAGAGAGAGAGAGAGAGAGAGAGAGAAACATTTTGACATAACGGACAACCTAAGCCATACTTAATATCTTCGATAATTTCTTTTCTCTTTTTTTTCTTTTTTTTTTTTTTCTATCGAAGCAGATTCAAAGAGATCATTTTACAACATTTGCAATTTATTAATAAGCAATTATTGAAAACGATATTATTCAGATATTACATTGAATATCATTTTCATCTATTTCTAATGACATTTAAAATAACGTTATGAGACATTTCTATGGGGAATTAAAAACGATTAAGTTTAATGAGCGTAGTTCATTTAACAAAAAAAAAAAAAAAGAAAAAAGCGGGGATAAAAAAGAACAACAGAGAGAAAAAATTATCGAGCAATATCCCTTCATTGTTCAAGATATTTGATAAGGACAATCTCGATGTGGCGGTCCGACTAATAATTAAAATAGTTTCCGTGTAACTTGCTCGTGGACTTACGGAGAAGTTTTCGAAAAGATAGAGAGAGAGAGAGAGAGAGAAAGACAGAGAGACACACATACAGAATGTGTGAGAGAGAGAGAGAGAGAGAGAGAGAGAAAGTGAGAAAGAGAGAGAAAGAGTGAGTCGCTTATTAACGAGTCCTCTCTGCCTTATAATTTCGTTTTATCTTTCTCGAGAGGCAACTCGATAATCTGAACGACTTGAAATTTCTTCCATTAACCTACCCTCCCCTTCTTTCTTTCTTCCTACTTTTTCAATATATATATCTACCTACTTGACCAAGATTGTGAAAAATAATTAATAAGATATATATATATATATATATATATATATATATAAAAAGAGATATAGATAGAGAAAGAGAGAGAGAGAGAGAGAGAGAGAGAGAGAGAAATTATTAATTAGCAATTAAATATCTAAGAAAGAGAGAGTGAGAGAGAAATAGAAATAAAAAAGAAAAAGTTATAAGATTATTAATTCTTTTTCCCCTTTTCTAATATAAAATTTCATTTTCCTTTAGCCGAAACACAACTTGGTAAGCAAAGCATCCTACAATTTCGGACGCTTCACGTTGGTGGATACTTACATGCCGGCGAAGACATTCCTCACTTTGTCGGACAGCTTCAACAGATCTGGTTCAATGGTTACCCCTATTTGGAGATAGCCAGAAGTGCCGGTAGCCATCAGAGTTCTCATCAGGGTGTGACACCGATCATCAGGGTAACCGGGAAATTTGGAAAAAGGAATCATCCTGTCCATCATCCTGTTACCTTCACCTCGAAACACACATTTGTTGGATTGCCAGTATTGAAGGCCTACGTGGAAACGAATATCTATTTCCAGGTTCGTATAAATTTCTTTCTTTTTTTCTTTTTTTTTTTTTTTTTTTTCTTTTTTTTCTTTTTGTAACAAGTAAAAGAAAATAAAAGAAAGAAAGAAAATAATAAATAAGAAACGAGGAAAAACTTTCTATGACGTACATATTATCCTTGTGTGATTGTATATATTACAGAGAAGTGTTAGGATCTTCTAGTTCTTTTTTTTTTTTTTTTTTTTTTTTTTTCTAAAGAACTACTTACACCATAGAAACCATTGTCACTTCTCGACATAATCATTCTAAATGCGCGTAAATATTTTTCACAATGTCGACACCTCGTAATTGCTAATGGCTGATTACGAACGATTCTTTATATGGTCTTTTTCTTCCACTGGATAATCGCTGATACAAGTACGAGATTGTTGGAAAATGATTGTCTTGAGTGGTTCCTTCGTGGCAACAATTTCGAAGTTGATTCCTCGTATTCCTTACTCAGCTAATCTTGCACGTAGCAATTTTTGCTTTTTTCCAACGTTGAAGGATCACTCCCGGTGATCGTTCATTTTCCAATCTTATCCAATACGTTCTCTTTGTCGATCAGCAATTTTTCTGTATAACAAAACAGACCCTTTAAAGAATCATTCGCAGCAGATCATGCAATCATGATGAGAACTAAAGTTATGGACAATGTTTAAATACGATATTTAAATTGGCCACGTTGAGAAATAACAGTGATTTCAGGATTCTATTGTAAAAGTAATTTTTTGAAGAAGAAGAAAAGACGAAAGGAAAAAAAGAAAAAAAAAAGAAATAAAATAAAAGCAAAAAAAAAAAAAAAATTAAATCAAGAGACCTCAGTAAATATCTTTATGTAAAATCGTATTATTGTATATCTTTGGAGATTCAAGCGAATTTCTTCTTTCGTCAAAGAGCTTTTTTCGTGAATTCACATATGTACACGTATCGATAGGTATTATAACCGATATGAAAGCTTGCTCTCTGTGTCTATCGTTACCAAGTGAACATACCTAGTTACTTATATAATACATACATATATAACTACGTCTCTTATTGTACGAGAGGATGATATATCGATGATTCATGTACTTCCGATAAAAAGATGAGAGGAATGGTGATTCAAGTAAAAGCTTCAACCACATCCAAGGGAGGAAAAAAAGTGAGCTCTAAAAGGAACCCTCCATTCCTCCTGTGAGAGCATATGTATATCTGCCTATATTTTCTCTCTCTTTCTTTCTCTCTCTCTCTCTCACTCTCTCTCACTCTCTCTCTCACTCTCTCTCTCTCTCTCTCTCTCTCTCTCTCTCTTTCTTTCTATCTTACAAAGTGTATGCATGAAGTATCACGCGATGTTTCGCATAAGCGGAATAAACTGAAGGCTCCGACACTAAAAAAGGAGCATTCTTTTGAGATTTATATGGGCTCATCCCTCCTCGTATATCGCACTAATAACGAAACTTTTTATTCGCGTAACACAAAGTATTCGATTAAATGCATATTACATTTTTCTATCTTGTATGTTTTTGTAAAAAAATTACTTTAATAATCTTTTTTGTTTCCTTTTTTTCTTTCTTTATAGTTTTTTTTTTTTTTTTTCTTTTTTTTTTCGTTAATACTCTTCCTTACTTACCGTCAGATGAATTTTGTATGGACATTGATACATAAAATCGATACACGCATTGTCTTCGGTAATATGTTTTTCTTTTTTTCTTTCTTTCATTGTCTTTTCTTTTTTTTTTTTTCCTATAAAAAACTTACGTATGTATCCAATTTGCATGATCGTGCAAAAAATAATATAAAGTAATATATGGCGAACGATAAAAAAAAATAAAAAGAAAGAAAAAAAAAATTGATAACAATCTATTTCGATCGTCTCTTTTCTTCTTTCTTTTTCTATTTTTTTTCTTTTTTTTTTTTTTGTTTGCCTTTTTTCTTTTTTTCTATTCTCTTTTCAACGATCAACACAAAACAGCTATTTCATTTTATTAAATTGTTAATTAACAAACGCGTAGAGGAAAATAAAAATCGATTGACTCCGTAATAAACTATCTATCAAAATAAACATTTAAATAGATATATTTTGATCATTTCGCATATTTTGACACGTCTTTTCAAACGACTCGTTTATCTTTCATCGCGCTTTGAACTTCTTTGAAAAGGCGAGAGAAATATTCCCGAAGGTCAGGGATGTTATATAAGTTTGAGAGAATTTTGTAAAAATAAGAAAGAGAGAAAAAGATAGAAAGAGCTAGAGAGAAAAAGAGAGAGAGAGAGAGAGAGAGAGAGAGAGATAAGCTTATTCCTTTGACGAGGTAAAACGGCTTCGAAACGACGGTCGATCCTTTGAAGGTTGCTCCGTGAGCTATCGAAGAAAATACTTACGTGAATACGCGAGAGTGTACGTGAACATATTAGAGCTCGTCACTAACGATCGATTTGAAAGAAAGGAGAAAGAGGAGCTTTGGCAGACTAAAAGAAATAGAAGACATACATACATACATACATACATATATATATATACTTTTCTATCCTTTACGATGCATCATAAGGAGGGGTAGGGGGGGAAAGGGGATGCCTTAATTCGTATTTTTTCTCACGTCGTAACGTCATCGTTGGGTGTGCCTCTTCCTCTTTTTTTCTTTTTTCTTTTTTCTTTCTCTTTCCTCCTTTTTTCTCTTTTTTCTTCTTTATTATCCTTTCCACACATTTCTTTTAACTCTTTCATTTTCTTTACTTTCGACTATATATATACGTGGGTACATATGTACGTAAGCACTTACATACACGCCTCTTTCGATTCGATCAAAATCCGTAGAATAAATATTTTCTTCGTAATCATTTGCTCTTCTTATCGTGATTATGAAATCTTTTTTTTCTTTTTTTTTTTTTATTTTAAACGTATAAGAAAAAATTAGAAATCTTTTTTAAATATAAGTAATTAAAACGTTAAGGGAAAAATATACGTAGGTATGTACGAATTATGATTCGGAGAACGTCGATTAAAATACTCTTTTTATTTATCTCTGTCCAAAAGAAAAAAAAAAAAAAAAAAAAAAAAAGAAAAAGAAAAAAAAAAAGAGAGAAATTAATAATTTTTCTTAAAAAAATAAAATGGATAAATAAATAAAAGAGAAAATGACGACAAAAACAAAACGTGTACGTAACAAAAAGAAGGACGATGAATTGATTCAACCAATTAACAGACATAAATATGAACGGATTTTTAATGCTAATAATTTCATACGAATTTCTCCATTATAATCGAGATTATATCGAACGAATGTTTAACAAAAAGGAAAACAAAAATTATACTTTTTATTTTTCAATTTATTTCCAACATATCTTTATTTATGTAGATTAATATATTATTAGTAGCGATAGTTCGTATTCCATTTTTGAATCTCCTTTCAATATCTGTAAAATGGAAGAAAAGAAAAAATGAACATTTGATTCAAGAAAATTCTATCCCTGACGTTTATCAGTCAAAAAAATTTCTAATATCGATTTCTACAGAATTTTATAAATTACGTGACTAACACGTTAATAGGTTTAATCAAACTGAGAATAATGGGTTCATGATCAAACGACGTCATATCCATGCTTTGCTTCGATCATGTAAAATGCATTATTATATTAAAGAAAGAAAAAAGAACAAACATGTCAGAAATTATCAAACGGGTATAATATATTCGATTTGGAAGAATAAAAGAAGGATTATCGAACCTCTTAAGATACGATTCTACAACGTCCACCGACGTATGTTTCATTCGGTGCACAATTTGGCGGTACATTAATGATCTTTCCACGAGACCCAGCAGGATGATCGCTATATCTGAGGATTTCATCATTTAATAGTTCATCATTTCTCTTTTTTCCACATTTGCATTGGCAGTCGACGTTATCCGTATTACTTTGAACAAATGCATTGTTGTTATTTTCTAAAGCCCAATTTCCATTGGATGATTGTTTCAATAAATAAACTTCAAGTTCCGGTTGTCTTTCATAACCCTGAACATTTATCGACCTTTCCGTAGGCGGGTGTCTAGGGCTGTGTAATTCTCTTAACTCAGCTATGTCCAATGACGACACCATTGCGATGATAATCGATAGGAATAATGAACTGATCAATATCGTCTTACCCATTTTGATTTAGATTTATTCGAGAATAATAATAAAAAATTCTTGAAACTCGAATTAAATAACGTGGCAGGTTAAAGATTTTTCTTTCAAACGAATGAAATGCTTCTAGTTTACGTAGCTTAGATTTTCTCAACTAAGATAGAACGACGTCTTCTTGTTCGACTCTTCGTATTTATAACTAAATTCTACCACCCGTACTGTTCCTTTTATCTAATAACCACTATTCCTTTTCGAAGATAACTTTAATCAAAAATAAAATGGGAAAGATAACGAATGGAAATAATTCATTCGAAAATTATAACAATCGTATTATTACCAATTGAATTTCTGTTAAGTTTATATCGTTAAAGTTTATTATGCGAAATTTAATTACTGATATAAAAATCCAATAAAGATAATTATATCTTGCTACTGATTAATCTGTTCTCTATTCGGTACAATATGTACTTGGTTGAACTATAAATTTTAATCGAGGACAAACTCGGAATACAATAACTTTCACATAAAAAAATTTCGATTGAATGTACTCGTACGAATTTGCATTCTAATCTTACTGATATAAAAAAAAAAAAAAGAAATTTTATACTCTTTCCTTTAAAAATAAAATACTTGGAAATATAAGAAAGTGAAAACTAGAGAGAGATAGAGAGAGAGAGAGAGAGAGAGAGAGAAAGAAAGAGAAATAAGGTCAATCCTTTGACGCAATAAAATGACCTCTTTGAAACTACGATCGATCCTGTATGGTTCAATAAACAACTTTGCTATATCCTGCAGTACGAATAAAAAATGCAATCCAATAGTATAGACTAGTTGTTATTTTTCTTGCAATAACTTAATTCTATAAAACTAATTCTGCAATATGTTTTTTTATTTATAGAATTTTATTTAAACGATAATGCAGTTCTTTAAATAGAGAAACAATTTTATAATAATTTTTGTAAAAGTGATTTAATTGAGATTGCCACTATTATTTGGGATAGATGACTGTAGAAGAAATCGAGAAAAAAGAAAGATAGGAATAGTGTGGAAAAAGTACTCCAAAAAAATAATAGAACTTATTTCTCTAATTAGTCAAGAGTATTTTCGGAATGTTCATCTCGAATATGTTTAAAAATCTTCACTAACTAGGTAATCGCACTTTTTTAGAATAAAAAATATCTATCTCAGAGGGATTAAACTCAATTAATCTACTTAAAATTAATAGACAACTCTTTTTATCCATAAATCTCGCATATTTATTATTACTCGGCTCGGGAAAATTCAGAAATGATTTCTACAGAAAAAAAAAAGAAGAAATAAAGTTTAAAACTCGGACAATCCTGGACCACTCGTTCTTTTTTCTTTTTTTTTCTCTCTTGTTTTTTAATCCTATGTTTGTCTCTTAAAAGACTCTTCAAACAAATTTCTCAAAGACGAATATTTCACATCATAGTAAATTACTCTTTAATAGAAGATCCGAAGTTAACGATTAAGGTTGTTCACTAACTTTGGTTTTTATAATGGTTTACGCCATCAATGAGAACAGACGTAATTCTTGGCCGATTTTAACGAACAAGCTTTCGTTTTTTAAAGATGAAGGTTTAATCTACGGCGGAGAATTTTTGAAAAAGCTTTATTTTCTTTGAAAGAAATCGTATTAAAAAATGTTATTTTTCAAAAATACCTTATGCAAAAATATTTAAAATTTCACCAGAAGGGTGACATAGATTAAATTTTCGTCATTAAAATGTGATTTTGTTCATCAAAATAGACCGAAAATTACTTCTGTTCTTTTTAATGGCGCAAATACTGTTTTCGATATTTTTCACGAAGAAAAAGTTTAGTACCGTGATGGCTCTCGAAATTTGCACCAAAAGATATAAAGCCCCATTACTGATTTCATGTGATTTCATGTAATTTCATTGCATAATGTATGTTTAATATCCGTGAAGTACCGATTGCCTGCTTGGTTGTGTGCGTAAATAACTAATGCTAAGATTTTTTGAACATTTTCAAAGAAATGAATTTTTCGATGCTCGCACGGAAAAGCTACGTTAACTCACTCGATCATTTTAATGAGCTTTGACCAGATAATTCTATGAATTATAAATAAATAATCCTATGAATTATAAATTCTAAAAATAAAGAAATATCTGTGCAATCGTTTATATCTAATTATTTGAGTTTCTAAAATGTTGTTAAATTTTGAAAAAATTTGTAGGTTTTTCTTTTTTTTTTTTTTTTTTTTTTTTTTAGATTTTATAGACTAAAAAGAGAGATATTTTATAATAAAAAATGTATAGTACATTGGCAAGCGTCCAAATTCGTAATTCAGGAATTCTAGATTCGAGGTTAATATGTGATATTCAATGTTTTTTTTTTTTTTTTTTTTTTTATTCTATCGATGTAAAAGAAAATAATGAACTAATTTATCCTTTTTTCCTTATTTGACAATTTAATAAGTTTTTATTACTAATCTAGTCTTTTATATTTATTTTCGGCTGACGTGAATCTCATGATAATCTGTGCTAGATAGAACACAGAAGCAGTACAATTTCATTCAATGACAAATACATATAAAGTATATACATTTGTCGATTATTTTTTCATAATTAATAATTAATGAATCCATTTTCACATCATCAATGAGATTTTTCTACCAGTGCTATTTTATTATGATTTTCTTTGTAGAAATTCACTTCATATTATTACTATTACTACTACTATTATTATAATAATAATAATATATAACGTAATAATATAATAATAAAAACAATAATAAGAAGAATATACTTATATCGCATACATCATGACATATATGATGACGGTAATTTATGATAACAAAAGAAGGAAAAATGTATCATTTTATGTGATGGTTTGTCGCGCGAATTCTCAACAAAAAAGTATCCTTGATAATTTCGATACATTACCGACCATCTAATACAAATGACATATGAAAAAAAATACAAAACGTTTTTTTTGTTTTCGTTTCTTTTTCTTTGACTACCTTATGATCGTAATGTAATTTGTTTCGACACTGTTTCTTACTCATGATCAATCAAAGCTAATTGTCTTTACTATTATAATATAAAATATATTAAATAATATCTAAATGTATATAAATAATATTTAAGTACATTTTTATTATTATTATTATTATTATTATTATTATTATTATTATTATTAGTAGTAGTAGTAGTAGTAGTAGTAGTAGTAGTAGTAGTAGTAGTAGTAGTAGTAGTAGTCGAAATAGTCGAAGGACTAGTCCTACAGGGGTAACCACGTATAAAAAAATAAAAATTATTGGAAGTTCTACTTCATAGATAGTATGAAAATAAACTCATGTTTTTAATTTGTATTAAAATAATATAATATATAAGTATTTATTAATTATTTTAAAAATAATATTGGACAAATTCTTATTTTTCTCGAAGATTTATATATAGTAATTCTTATATGTGTCGATTATATTTATTATTTTTATTATCATCAAAGAAAGATATATTTATGAGATATTGAAAAATGTGAATTTAAAATCTATTAGAACTACTTACTCTAACTCACATGAAATCAATTATTATATACGCGTGAGAGAGAAATAATCAATGTAATCTTATACATTGATATGATAGATCCATAGTGGAGACAATATTTCCTGATTCATAATTCATATCTCTCGCTGAAGTCACACATATTTTGAAAAAAAGGTAACGAACAGCCTTAAGTAGTCTCAATACAATTATTACTGACATAAGACAAAACTATCATTTTAAAATCATTTGAAGTATATTACGTGATCTATCGAAAGAAGTATAATGCTAAAGTGAATACGTTAGTGTACGAGAGTGCACTTGCGTACATACGTAAACAATCTAGAATTTATCATTAATCAATCGATTCGAAAGAAAAGAGAAGTATTAATTTTGGCCGACTAAAAAAAAGAAAAAAAAATACAAAATATGTATCGATTGCCTAAAAAAAATTAGATACTCTTTTTAATATAAGTAAATAATCGAACAATAATAGGACGCGACTAAAGCTATATGAATGTACAAATTATCGCATTAATTGATAAAATATTCTTTTCATTTATTTAAAAAAAAAAAAAAAGAGATAAATAAATAAACAGAGAACAAAAAAGAAAACCGAGAATATTAAATCAACCCTTTAGCGGATATGCACACGAATAAATTTTTAATGGTAATACTTTCGTACGAATTTATTCATTGTTGTTGAGATTATTTCGAGTGAATAATAATAAACAAAAGAAACTTTTCTTACATTTCAATTTATTTCCAATATATTTTTATTTGTGCAAATTATTATACCATTAATGATGTTAACACAGAACAAAATGATATATACATATATAAATATATATATATGTATATATATACATGTATATATGCACATATAAACTATTTACTTTCATAACCATGATACATTCAGAATTGTCATATAATAATAAAGTTACAACGAACATGGATCATACTCCACAACGTTTGCTCTGTCAGAATCTCCTTTCAGTTTCTGTAAAATGAAAGAAAAAAAAAGTTATGAAAGACATCGATAAAACGACGAAAGAAACTCTTGACATGTCTATCACTCTTTCTTGCTCTTTCTCTCTCTCTCTCTCTCTCTCTCTCTCTCTCTCTCTCTCTGTCTCTCGATTACTCATTCTGTAATCAATATTGATCTCGGAATCTCGTATTAACTCGACGATCAAAGAAGAAATGAACTTTAGACATTTGATTCAAGAAAATTCTATCCCTGACGTTTATCAGCCAAAAGAGTTTCTAATATCGGTTTCGACAGAATTTTCTAAATTACGTGACTAACACGTTAATAGGTTTAATCAAACCGAGAATAATGGGTTCATGATCAAACGACGTCATATCCATGCTTTGCTTCGATCATGTAAAATGCATTATTATATTAGAGAAAGAAAAAAGAACAAACATGTCAGAAATTATCAAACGAGTATAATATATTCGATTTGGAAGAATAAAAGAAGGATTATCGAACCTCTTAAGATACGACTCTACAACGTCCACCGACATATGTTTCATTCGGTGCACAATTTGGCGGTACAGTAATGATGTTTCCACGAGGCGTATCAGGATGATCGCTATATCTGAAGATTTCATCATTGAATAGTCCATCATTTCTCTTTTTTCCACATTTGCATTGGCAGTCGACGTTATCCGTTTGAACAAGCGGATTTTTTTCACCTCCTAATGCCAAATTTCCACGGGACGGTCGTTTTAACAAATAAATTTCAAATTCAGGTTGTCTTCCATCAGCCTGAACATTTATCGACCTTTTCATAGGCGGGTGTCTAGGGCTGTGTAATTCTCTTAACTCAGCTATGTCCAATGACGACACCATTGCGATGATAATCGATAGGAATAATGAACTGATCAATATCGTCTTACCCATTTTGATTTAGATTTATTCGAGGATAAAAATAAAAAATTTTTGAAACTCGAATTAAATAACGTGACAGGTTAAAGATTTTTTAACGAATGAAATGTTTCTAGTTTACGTAGCTTAAGTTTACTCAACTAAGATAGAACGACGTCTTCTTGTTCGACTCTTCGCATTTATAACTAAATTCTACCAACCGTACTGTTCCTTTTATCTAATAACCACTATTCCTCTTCGAAGGTTACTTTAATCAAAAATAAAATTGGAAAGATAACGAATGAAAACAATTAGTTTGAAAATTATAACAACCATATTATTACCAATTAAATTTCTATTCAGTTTATATCGTTAAAGTTTATTATGCGAGATTTAATTACTAACATAAAATTTCCAATAAAGATAGCTATATCTTGTTGTTGATTAATTTATTCTTATCTATGCGATACAATACATAACGAATCAATCGAGGACGAATTCGGAAGGCAAAGTGATTAAACTTAGTACGGTCTAAAATTAACAGATGACTTCATCTATTTATAAATCTTGCATATTTATTACTTAACTTAGAAAAATTCAGAAATAATTTCTATACAAAGGGAAAAAAAAAAGAAAAATCTCGGACCACTTGTTAAAACGTGTAAAAATAAATTAAAGACGTCGACGAAAGAACAAAGGAAAAATCAATGTCAATCTCAAAATTGCGAATTAATTCGACGATCAAGAAAAGAACGAATTTTTTATTTTTGATTCAAGAAAATTCTCTCCCATTTTAAAGTTTATCATTCAAAGAGAATTTATAATTGGGTCTCAAAGCTTCCTTTGAAGAAGCTTCCTCCAAAGAATCCTGTATACTACGTGACTATCGGATTAATCAAGCTAAGAACCGTCGACCGAATGATCGAACGATTTTTCTTATAGTTTTTTCGTTTTGATCATAAAAAGTGCATTCTCAGAGAAAGAAGAACAAACATGCTAGAAACTATCGGATAAGTATATATATTCGATTTAGAAAAAGGCAAAAAAAATATTGTCAATCATTTAATGGATTGCTGTTCTACATTTTCCCAGAATCCATATCTGCCCCCTTATGACATCGAAGATGCCGTCCACCAATCATTTTGCGTGATATATTTAGGTCAGACAAGGAAGATCGTTCGACATCGTATAACGTTATATATTCTGCGTAAATCTTCTCGTTGGTCCATCTTCTTGCTTATTTCCACAATTTCATTGACAAACTCCATGTTGTTATCCGTTCCGGTCTTATCAAACTATTGGATGAAAGAACGGTCGGTGGGTCGTTTCAACAAATAAACCTCAAATTCCGGTTGTCCCCTTTCACCGTGAATATTTCTCTATTTACGAATGAGATTTAGATGTTTAGGATTCATTTACTTTAAGACCGTATAGAAATTGCGTATCCTCGTTCTTCGACGACATCTTGAATTTGTATCTAAGGGCTAACCATAACAATTACAATCGATAGAACCGACGAAGTCAATCATCAACATTGTCATTAAACATTTCGGTTTAGATTTATTTGAAATAGAAATTAAATAATGAGACACATCGAAGATCTTTCTCTTGAAAGAATGAAGAAACTTTCGGAATATTTTTTTAATTATAATTATCCGATCGATCATTTTTTTTATCGAAATTTATTTCTCTCAATTAACAGAGAATTAAATTTTACTATTCTTGTTATTGTTTTTATCTGATAAACAATTTTTAAGGTTAGGATCATGGATGGAAGTAATTGATTAAAACATCATAACGTTCGTTTTATTGCCTATTGGATATCGATAATCGTTACAGTTTATTATGCGAGATTTAATTGTTGATATAAAAATTCAATAAAGATAAATAAATATCTTGCTACTGATTAATTTCTTTTTTCTTTTTTTTTTTTTGTTTTTTATTTATCGAGACAGTATGTATCGTGGTGCAAAATAGTAAAACCATAGATTAGAACAAAACTCGAGATATAATTAATTTTCAAAAGAAATATTTCGATCGAACGAGGTCAAACGTACTTGCTCTTTAATCTTCTTAGGTTAAAAAAAGAAAGGGAGAAAAAAAAAATAAGAATACAATTTTAGGCTCGTTCACGTCACAAAATGAAATACTTTTAGAAATAACAAAAGGGAAGAGAGATAAGCTTATTCCTTTGACGGAATAATACCTCTACGATGGTCGATTCTTTGAAACATGCCGCCTGAGTTATCGAAGGAAATATCTACTTACAATGGCTGCCATATATTTTTACGTATTTATCTACAATTAATAAAATTAAATGGATATTATTTGTTATTGTTTATTTATATCTTTTACGATTAAACAAGTACTAGGAAATTAATTGTATTTTTTAAAAGTTTACAATATACATAACAAAATAACAAAAAAATTACAAATCTCGAAAAACTCCTTTTACAATTTATCCTGACGTATAATTCTACAAGTTATTGCATTTTAATATAGGATAATATATGGTTCGCTCTATACCACATTGGAATAATTACTTTAATATAAATCTTCTTTTTTTTTAATCTTCTAACATTGCTGTTAATAAAATATACGTATATACAAATGAAATCTCTTTGATTAATTAAAAATAAGGTATATTAATATATTTGTAAATGAATTATTTAAATTCATCTCTCCTGAATGCGAATTATTATGTACATACATACGTACATTGAAATACTCGTGAAAATAATTAAATTGTAAAATAATTCAAAGAGCAATAGAAAGTTTAGTTAAAAACAAATAATAACTCTCTCGAGGAGCGATTCTTAAACTTTATCTGTACGAGAACACTTTTAGTATGGCGTGTAATTTATTAAACCCTTAACCATTAACTTTAGATTTTTGTTTAATATAAGGTAAAGAACGCTTTCAAAATTTTGATGACTTACTCTCTAGCAACCTGGCAATAAAAAAGGAAAAGAAAAAGAAGAAGAAAAAAACAAACCAAAAAATCATATAAATTTTATGATCCAAACTCTAAACGAAACTTCTCGTTTTATTTATTTCTTTAGGGCAAAGTCTCCAGGAGAAAGACTTATCGATCGTTTTCACAAAGGATTCGTATTAACCTTGTAAATCAAAACAATTTTACGTGACTACGGAGAAATGAAAAAAAATAAAAAAAATTGCTTCCAAAAATATTCAAATCATCCCTCTGTCGGACGTGTAATCCTCGTTTTGAAAAATTACGATATTTTATCACTGTAACAAAAGATTAATTTCTATTGTATAATTTTTCCATTATACGTTTTATAATTTTATAATGGAATTAAATAACAAATCAAATGTTTGTTATTAAAATATTACTCGAGAAACTCTGACGACGGTCCGCGAATCCATGGTTTTTTTTTTTTAAGATCTAAGATCTAAGATCTAAGATCTAGGATATTAAAAAAAAAAATGATAAATTTCCAATAAAAATAGTCAGTAATAATATTTCTTACATATGTTTTACCTTTAACGTTACAGTTTAAAACACGTGAACCTAATGGATTGATCCTTTACAATGCTGGAAGAGAACGTGACTTCATAGCCGTTGAGCTGGTGAATGAACATATTCATTATGTCTTTGATTTGGGAGATGGCCCTGTAAGAATCAAAGACAATTCGAAGAGTAGATTGAACGATGGCAAATGGCATGCCGTTAGCATTGGAAGGCCTGCACCAAAAAGGCACACCTTAGCTGTAGACGATCACGTTACTGCTGTTAATAGTCAAGGTAGCAACGAAAATCTTGACCTTGATGGAATATTATATATAGGTGAGTCTCAAATTATCAAGAAACAATAATTGTGATCAAACAATTCTACCAAATAATTTATAAATATATCAATGTCTCTTTGTTCTTCTCTCTCTCTCTCTCTCTCTCTCTCTCTCTCTCTCTCTCTCGTAATTTTTTTGTAAATCGACAAACGATATTATCCTTCACGAGATATTTATTTTTTTAAATGAGATATTAAAACTCTTAAAATTCAAAAGGGTTCTATTTTGCAAAAAAAATTCAAATAATTTCGATTTATATCTTTATCATATTTTATTAAGTATATTAGATAAAAACTTAAATAGAAATATAAATTGCGCTTATGTTCGTTTGTTTTTTTATTTATTTTTTTTTTTTTTCTTCTAATTTTCTATCTTTGACAAAAATTTCGAACGCATATCTCAATAATCCGTCAAATAAAACAGGATAATTAATTCTCAATTCTCTCTTTTGTTAGACTTGACATTTAAAATTAGAACAAATGAATAATTAAAAAATTTTACATTTAAATCCATTCATCTCCCTATATTTGGTATTAATTAATGTCGACTTTATAATGGCCACTAATAGTATAATCTGGCTCATTGCAAGAAATAAAAAGTCAAAGGAGATAGAATTATGAGTGTTGAGAGCTACATTATCGTCATAAATGATGAATCTCTTTGAGTTTTACGGAGGTTTTTAAGGATTTAATAGTAACGTGACGTAAGAAAAAACAACGAATTGCAAACTGAAATGAAAAAAAAAAAAAAAAGAAAGAAAAAAACAAGTAAGACGATTAAAAGGGAGTTCCAAATTATTTCACATATATACATATATTCACATATATATACACATATGCGTGTGTATATATATATATTTATATATTAGTCCATATATCTATATTGAATATATTTATGGAATATATTTATATTTTTTCATCACTCGAGGGAAATTTTTAAACAAGAAGAAAATATTGAAAAAAAGTTGAAAAAAGTTGAAAAAATTCGTACATTTCTACTTCAATCATTTTACGCATTTTCATTGGAAACTTTAGAAATATTGCGTTCATGTGAAAATGATGAGAAAAAAATATATACAATCTCTTATTGCTTCTCCATCCAATAAAATTTTATTTGACCTTTTTTTATATCTTCTTTTTTCATATCGTTCTATGTACCACAAAAATGATTGATTTTTATAACTAGTAGTAATATCATAATAGCTACTGTATGATGTATATACACATATATATATATATATATATATATATGTATATATGTATATATGTATACATGTATGTATGTGTTAACGTGAGTTGATAATTAAAACTACATTTTATTCATCGTGTATTAATATTACTAACGACGATTATCGAATAACTTTTCAACGAAAAACATTGAACCTCACGTAGATTCATATGCTCAATAAAATAAAACACCAAGTAAGTAAAAAATAGACGAATTCCAAATTATTTCACATATATATATACACAAACACAAACACATATATATATACATATATATATACATATATATACATATTAATCTATATATCTATATTGAATATATTTACGAAATATATATTTATATTTTTCCACCATTCGAGGGAAATTTTTAAACAAAAAAAAAAAAGAAGAAGTTAAAAAAAAGAAGAGAAAAAGCAAGAAAAATAGAGTTGGAAAAACAAATCGACGTTTTCCTTTCGGCGAAACAATGGAATATGAGTTTGAAGTTCATGTCGAAAGTAAAAAATGAAAAATAAATATAAAGAGAGAAAAAAAAAAGGAGAAAAAAAAAGGAGGAACGAAAAACAACAAAATAATAAAAGCTTACGCTTCAAAGACGATGACGATAAATTAAATCAAACATTTAACGGATATGCATACGAACAGATTTTTAATGCTAATATTTTCATACTTGTTTCTCCATTGATCGTTAGTTGATTTCGAATGAACGTTTAACAAAAATTATATATTTTTTATATCCATTCAATTTGTTTTATATTATATTATTACTTAATGCATATTGATGATATTGTATTAATGTTAAAGGACAAAATAATACATAATATATATATAATAATAAGACGTATATATATATATATATATATAGCTTTTTGGTATATTGTTTATTTAAAAATAATAAACACACCATACATTTGCAATCATAACATTGAGAAAAAGTTATAACAAAGATGTCTCAAACTTTTCTATAGACGATGAAAAAAAAAAAGATAAATAAATAAATAAACAAAAAGAAAAAGAAAAAAAATATAAAAGAATCCAATTCGAAAACTCGAATTAATCGGATCGACAATCAAGAAAGGAACTAACTTTGAACATTTGATTTAAGCAAATCCGCCTCTTGACGTTTATTAGCTAAAATGATTTCTAATCGTACACGACAGAATCCTATAAACTACGTGACTAAAACATTAATACGCGTAATCGAATTAAAATCGAAATCCATCGATTCATGCTCGAACGATTACTTGTACGATTATCTTTCGTTTTGATCATACAAATTGTACATTCTTCCGGAGGAAAAAAGAACAGATCGATTTTATATAGGAAGATGATATTGATTATAACCGTGATAAAAAGATATTAAATAAAGGCATCAAACGGAAATATGAACAGATATAATAATACATTCAATAATCATAACGTTTTATTATCATCTAACGTTATACTATCATTTGATATCGTAGATCATTAAAATTTATTAGAAAAGTTTATTAGAAAAATCCAATAAAGATGTATGCCATTAATACTTATTCATAAAGACATTATATATAAACGTGTGAAAACGACAAATCGTAGGTCAAAATGAATTCGTAATAATTTTCATAATAAAAAAAAAAAATTTCGATTTTACAAGTTCAAACATACTTGCCTTTTATTAATCTTCTTTATATAATCTTCTTTATATAATCTTCTTTATATGAAACAAAAAAAAAAACGAAAGAAGAAAAAAACAAATGTCAAGTCGTTCTCTTGAAAATTAAATACTTATAAAAATAAGAAAGAGTAGAGAGAGAGAGAGAGAGAGAGAGACAGACAGACAGACAGACAGAAAGAAAGAGATAAAGAAAAAGAAAGATAAGCTTATTCCTTTGAAAGGTTAAAATGCCTTCGAAACGACGATCGATCCTTTGAAGCATGCTCCATGGGTTATCGAAGAAAGAAGTACTTACGTGAATACACAAGAATGAATGTGAACATACTAAAACCTGTCACTAATGATCGATTCGAAAGAAAATAAAAAGAGCAGATTTTGGTCGACAAAAAGAAATAGAATATATATATATATATGTACTATGATGCACAACAAGGATGGCTTAATTCATCTTTCTTCTCGCGTTGTAATGCCATTGTACCATGTGTATTTGTTGTATGTATGTGTATGTGTGTGTGTGTGTGTTTTCTTCCTTTTATTATATTTTTCTTTTTAATTTTAACTCATTTATTTTCTTTTGTTTTCTTTTTCCTTAAAAAAAGAAAAAAAAAAAAATAATAAATAAAAGAAAAATTCAAACGTCGAAGATGACAATGATAAATTGCATCAATCGTCTAATGAATATGCAGTACAAACGGATTGTTAATACTTATATTTTTATACGTATTTTTTTCATGAAATTGGAATTATTTTAAACGAACGATTAATAAATAATAATGTTTTTTATCTTTTAATTTATTTTTTAATATATATTTATATATATATATATATATATTAATTAGAATATAATAGAATTAATTATTAATAATGATAACACAAAAAAATATAATATATAGCCATATAAAGCTCTTTGATAAAGTTTTTATTTTTATTTAATTAACATCATATATTCACAATCATAAAAAAAGATATAACGACGATCCTTCAAACTCCTTCACGTTTATCGATCTTCTTTAAATTTGTACAAAGTGAAAAAAGAAATAACTTCTTTGCATGCCTATTTTTTTTCTCTCTCTCCCTCTCTCTCTTCCCTCCCTTACTCTCTCTCTCTCTCTCTCTCTCTCTCTCTCTCTCTCTCTCTCTCTCTCTCTCTCTCTCTCTGTCTCTTTTTCTCTCTTGAACATTCGCTCTCTAATCGATATTAATCCTGAAAGCTCAAATTAATGATCGATGATTTCAAGCAAGGAACGAACATTGAAGATTTGATTTCTATCATTTATCAATCAAAGAGTTTTCTAATCGGTCTTGACAAAATCCTATAAACTACATGACTAACAGATTAATTCGAATTAAAAATTAATCGAATTAAAAATTTGTAGATTCAGATTTCATTTGTAAACGTTACCACTCGATCATACAGAGTCCATTTTTAGGATAAAATAGAATAGAACAATGCTAGGTACAACAATTAAACAAATATATTCGTTTTGAAAAAAGTAAATAAAGGATTATCAATATCATATTAGAAATACTATTAAATCTGCAGATACCATTCATATCCCATTTTTATCCCTTTAGACATTTTCTTTTGTATTCTTTAGAAATGTCACTATATTGCGGGATGTTATTCAGTTTAATCATTCTATTATTTCCACATTTGCATTGGCAAATCATTTCGTTATCAGAATCGGCTTTTGAAAATTGATTCAATAAGTATACTTCATACTACTTCAAGTTCCGGTTGTCTCGAATGATTCTGAATGTTCTTCAATTTACGTATGAAATTTAAATAAACCAAATTGATCGATTTGATTTTTCAATATTTCAAATTTAATATGAGAATTAGTAGACAACGGTGCTACAATGATTGTCATCGATAAGAGTAATGCACTGATTGACATTGTTTTATCCATTTTTTTTTTTCAATTCAGATATATTAGACGACAAAAAAAGAAAAGAAGGAAATATTAAAATTCAAATCGAACAATGAAAATGCGTTAAAGACTCTTCTCTTACAAAAGCAAAAAAAAAACAAAAAAAACAAAAAAACAATGAAAAATCTTTGAAATATTTCCTTAATTATAATTTACTCGAATCGATCTGTTCGGACTCAAATACAAGAACTAAATTCCATTGGTACGTGCGATCATTTTTATCCAATAACCCATTCTTATTATTCGAAGATTATTTTAATGAAATTTTCAAGACAAGGTCGAGATTATCGTGAGTGGAAATAATTAATTCGAAATCGTATATAATCATAAATAATCGCTTTATCGTCGATCGTGTTATCGCCAATCGTTAAACTTTATTATTTCCGAGATTTAATTACTCACGCAAAAGTCCAGTCCAAAGATATATCCTGCTTCTGATTATTAATTTGCTTTCATTTATACGACACAATATAACGATAAACTGCAGGCCAATACTCGGATACTCGAAATACAATAATTTTCACCGGAAATATATTTCGTTCGTACGAGATCGAACGAACTTGTGGTTCTGATCTTTCAAGATAAAAAAAAGAAAAAAAAGAAAAAAAAGAAAATAGAAAGAAAGAAAGAAATAAGAAATAAAATACGTCAGATTGAAAATAAATGACGTTTCTTATTGATTAACGAATATCTCCTTGGTTTCAGGTGGAGTAGAAAAGTCTCAATACAGTCAACTACCGAAACAAATACTGAGTCGGCATGGATTCGAGGGTTGTCTTGCGTCCTTGGATCTTAGCGGCGAAAGTACCGATTTACTCTCGGATGCGGTTGTTCCGAGTTCTCTCGTCGAACCCGGATGTGACGTATACGCGAATCTTCACGCTGGAAAAAAATGTACTCACGATGTATGCGCGAATCATGGTACATGTTTACAACAATGGAACAGTTACACCTGCGACTGCGACATGACCAGCTTTTCAGGACCTACTTGTAGCGAAGGTAACAAGACAAAAATAAAAAAAAAAAAAGAAGAAGGGAAAAAAGAAAAAAAAGAAAAAGAAAAAGAGAGAAAGTTGTTCTTTTTTTTTTCTTTTTTTTTTTTTTCTTTCTTTCTGTGAATTCCATTTTACAAACATTTTCGTTTGTTCAAATCGTCGAAGCTTAGTTTCGAGAGTATTGATCGTATTCGAAGACCGACTGACGATACGTTATCTTTACAGAAGCTGTGGCGTATGAATTTGGTGCAGGAAGAGGAATCATCACATATACGTTTCCATCGGATCGAAGACCGGAAATGAAACGAGACACCGTCGCCTTAGGATTCGTTACGGGAATGAACGACGCGGTGTTACTTAGAATAGAATCAGCCTCTAGCAACGATTACTTAGAAATTGAGATTGTTAGTACCTCGTCGATAAGAAAGATTTCTGCTTTATAGTATCCTCGTTTGGTCCTTTCTCTCTTTTACTATCACCCGATTAGAAAAAAAAAATTCAAATTCCTAAACTCTTTCGTAAAATCGTCCGATTGATTTTTCTGATCTTATTGATATTTAAAATCATAAATTGTTAAAAAAAGAGAAACAATAAAAATATCACATAGTATTTAATCAACGTAGGTGGAACCATATATATATATATATATATATATATATATATATATATATATATATATATATATATAAATTTGAAGATTACTTTACTAATACGAACGTTCGCAGAACTTTTTGGATTGCTTTCTTCTTTATTGCTTTATTTCTTATGTGTATATATATATATATATATATATATATATATATATATATTTTCTCATCTTTTATAACAAAACTCATCATTTATTCATCTCGTAGGTCGAAGGAAACATTTTTGCGGTATACAACATGGGTACTAACGACCATCCAGTCGGAGAAGTAGGTGTCAAAGTAAACGACAATCAATATCACGTCGTTAGATTCACAAGAAGTGGAGCGAATAGCACGTTACAAGTCGACGATTACAATCTTCAATCGAATCATCCGTCCGGTGAGTGTCACTTGTCTACGCTACACATATCATTATCACGAAGTTACCGAAGAAACACCACGTAACAATTTAAAATCGACAAAAATAAACGATAGAGATTAAACGTTACGATAAATCACAGGTTATTTTCATTTATGAACCGAGTCAAAGAAACAGTAAGAGGGAGAGAGAGAGAGAGAGAGAGAGAGAGAGAGAGAGAGATAGAAATGGAAACAAAAAGAATTCACAAGAAGTACAAACAGCATTTCAATGAATAATAACGAACGTAAATCGCAAAAAATAAATTTACTATGAAAGAGAGAGAGAGAAAGAGAGAGAGAGAGAGAGAGAGAAAGTATGTATGTTCGATGCGAGCGAGAAGAGACAACTACCTTGGAAAGGGCCCAGAACGCCCTTTTATAAGCTTCCTACGGTCGACTTATCCTTGAACCGTGTGAAAGGACCGCCAATGATCGTCTAGAACAACACTACGACATTCTCAGGTTGAAAAGAGAGAGAGAGAGAGAGAGAGAGAGAGAGAGAGAAAGGTTTCCTTCTAGTAGATATCATAACAATGGCGAAAGGACCCAAAATTTTCTACCTCTAAGTCCTTTCTAATATCCTAACTTCTCGAAGAAACCTAATTGGTATTCTTCTAATTTTTATCTTCATACTTAATATATCAAAAATTAATACTTAATAAATCAAAATTTAATACAGTTGGTAACAACCAAAAATATCTTTTACATTTCTACCTCTAACAATGTTCTATGATCCTGTCTCTCGAAAATCGACATAATTAACTTCACTTACACATATATATATATATATATATATATATATATATATATATATTTATTTTTTTATCTTCTTTTACTGGCACGTTAAAAAAAAAAAAAAAGAAAAAAAATAATAAAAAAATAAACAAGAAGGAAAAAAGTATGATCCATACAGAAGATTCAATCATTCTCGTAATTATTGCCGTTACCTTGCTAAAGGGGAAAAGTATATCAATGAACGTACGATGCAAAACTCAGGTCGAAGACATTCCAAGGAGAAAATACTTTCGCGTCTTATAGCTTCCTGATGTGTTTCACCATAGAAGTGAAAGGGTTTGAAATTTCGTTCCTTCTAAGGTCACGTAGTAAAAGACGTTTCGTTCATTTTACAACTAGCTACGATTTTCTAAGTTCCTATTACCATCGAAGACACTAATCCGCGTCATTACCTTCGGTCATTGTCACGACAATAGGAACTCGATCAAGCATGAACAATGGTGATCCAACGAAAGGAAATGAATAAATCAAGAGAGCCATGGACGTTCAGTTCTTTACTCCTTTCCTCTTTGTGACGATACAAAAGGCTTGAGAAGGAATTCCATGGGAATTCTACCCAACGTATAACTTCCTATGCTTACATGAAACCTTGATAAATTATTCTCAAGCCTATGGTGTTCCTCGATCATTCCCATACATGGAAGTAAAATGATCGTTCGTTGAATACAAACGAAAGCTAAACGATTCGATTGAAATGTGTGAAAAAAAAAAAGGAAAAAAGGGAAGGAAAATAATAGTAAAAAAAAAGAATAGGAAAAGAGAAATGAACAAAAAAAAATAAATAAATAAAAGTACTCGTGGGATGATGATCGTTTTGTTAATCCCTTACTAAAACGTATACGTTAAATTATTTCCTCTGGTCGTTAAATTTATCGTGTTCATTGTTCCAACACGATTTTTATTGCCAGCTAGCGTTCCATCAGTCTCTCGAGTAACGCTTGTCATAACGAAAAGAGAAAAAAAGAGAGTGAGAGAGAAAGAGGGGGGGGGGGAACACACAGGTACTACACGCTTCGAATTAGTTCGATTCTACCAAGTTAATTTAACAATTCAATAAAAAAGCGATTTAATTGATTTCGTACGCATCACACCGTTGGTCCAATCATTCGATCACTATCGATAAAAACTATATGTAGATATATGTAGATATACACACCTATGCGTATGTAATATATCGTACAAACTCGTAAAGTCAAACTGTTTCAATGTAAATTACATTCTCCTTTGATTATACGTATGTATGTATGCATATGTATATATATATATATATATATATATATATATATATATACATATATATACATACAATATGTATATACATATGTATGCATATGTTATTATAGATATGAAAATGTGATGAACCATGGTAAATGAAATAATTTATTGATCTTCGATCGATTTTAATTATCAAATTCTTCAATCAACTCAAATGAGATATAATGTATACTAAAATGCATAGCGCAATATGAATTACATAGATTACATTACATACATTTTATATATATATATATATATATATATATATATGCATCTATACACCTACTATCTCTATGTTATCTGCATATAGAAATGGAGATCATATCCTCTGGCATATACATAGGAATACCTATATTTGCGTTATATTACTAATCAAAATATCCATTTGATATAGTCTCAGTTCCAAATTGAGATATCATCCAATGATATTTCCTTTCGTCGTTAGAGATATGATGAATTGTCAATGACGATTAAAAACTATAGAGCGTACATATTAATATTGAAAAAAAAAAGAAAAAATGATATATATATATTATTTTTTATTCTGATCTATATATATTATTTTGGTCTATATATATTCTGATATATATATATATATAATCGCTCATACAATGATCAGAATATAATTAAAAATCGTTTGATTTAATAATCGACTGATTAATTATACAAATGAAATCAAAAATCATCCGATCCATACAATAGAGAATTATTCAAAATAAGCTAACAATCGTATTGTTATATTAAATTCCATTAATTATATTGAAAGGGATTTGGACGATAATAAAAAAAAAAAAAAAAAAGTATGATACTATCGTATTTGTATCGCATGAATTAGATAATAAAAGTTACATTTACATTTCTTACTTACGATAATCTCTGGAAATGTCTTTACTTTTAATCGTCATTTATGTTGATCAATGGTAATATCAATGGGTTTACCTTAGACCGATAGATGATAACGATAACGTGCTGCACGAATTCTTTTATCACTATGTATATAAACTAGTTACATCTACTAACATTGATCATAAAGAAAATTATTTAGGAAGGAGAAAGATATCTCTCTCGACAGGCATGAATACCGATTATTAATTCACTGGGAGATCGCCGATAAAGCAATAAAACTTTCGTTTCCGCGCAAGCAAGTAGGGAAGTTATTTTCCCTTTAAACGAAAGGTCATTCGCGAGAGTCGATCCCCTTACCCCTGCCCACCATCACCACCACTACCACCACCATCACGATCATCACTACTATCACCAAAGAAAATTATCGTCGTTTCAGCAATAAACTTACTCGTTGCTAGACTTTCTCGATAATTAGTCACGAAGAAAGTAGAACGAGCTTCGTCGTTCTTCCCGTTTAATTATCGTCCCTCGCTATACTTTAATTTATTTTCTGCAATTTATCATGATCCCCCGTGTGAAAATAGATTACGCATTAGGGTAACCCATCAAGTGATGCTCCCGATAATTTTATCAAAGCGTCACTCGACTCGAAAAATTATCGACAGTTACATTACACACAATGTATACCCAGATATAGATTGATAGATACTTATCATAAATTATTAATTATATATAATTATATATATATATATATATATATATATATATATATAATATGTTCAAAATCGACGTATATGTCGTATATTACGTATATATTATTCTCTATCCATATATATAAAGAATTTTTTTTTTACATTATGTTTACATTATGTTTACGATTTAAAATAAGACGTATTCTTTATACAGAGTGACATGCAAAAATTACTAATGTTCAAAGTCAATTACTTCCTTTTGAGATTTATTAGGCCAATTTTTCTTTTCGCTTTAAAATCATAAAATTACAAATCTAAAAACTTTTTTTATGATTTGCAAAAGAGAAAGAAAAAAAAGTCCTCCCGCAAAAAGAACATCCAAATAGATATTTTTTAAATTATCTAAAAACTTTCGATTCATTCTGTTGTACAAAAGATACCAGAGTCTTCGAAATATTTCTCTTCTTAAACAATATTAAACTTAACAAATTATAACATAAATGATATAGATAAGATGATTACAAAATTAATTTCCACGTTCTTTTCATAATAGCATACTTTATATTATAACGCGGCATTTTTATATAGACGAGTGGGGCAGGATGGAAGCCACTTTAAAAAGCTGCCGACAATTTAATGCAATAATTCAAAGAGCAAGTGTGTCGCTATTCAAAAGATAAAATCGTGTTAACATCTTTTCTCCTCTTTCCTTTTTTCTTCTTTCTTTTTTTTTTCTTTTTTCTTTTTTTTTTCTTTTTAATCTAAATCCCTTTTGTAATAAGTTTGCAAAATGTTTTTTTTTTCGACGCTTCTTTGGAAATCGAGTGGAGAAAAAAAAAGAAAAAAAGAAGAAAATAAATATCTCAGCTTTCAAAGTTCTCGAACGAAGAGAGAAAGAGAAAGTGATAGAAAAAAATGAAAGAGAGAGAGAGAGAAAGAGAGAGAAAGGGCAGAGGGTGAATCCGATTTGATTTAATTAGAATAAATTTGCCTGCATAAAAAGTAAGATGACGGGGATATGCTCCACGCTAGGTATATCAGCCTGGTAGCTAAATTTAACGAATTATGCGTAGCTCATCGTAATCGGGATTTAAAAGGATCCTCCCTCTTTCCCTCTCTCTGACGCCTTCTCGTCAAAACGAAAACGATGTAGAGGGTCGATGCACCTCGAACATAAATGGTGGCTTAACACTCTTGATGAGATAGATGAACGAACGAGATTAACGACGAAGGATTCATCCACCATGATGAGAGGCGTGGCACTTTATATGGAGGCTAACCTTCCATAAAATTATTTCGTGGGTCCATCATGGGGAATTGAAAAGAACCGACTAAGAGAGAGAGAGGGAGAGAGAATCCTTATGGTCCCTCTTTTCTCATGTTTCCCTTA